TCGTGCCAATCCAGAGAAAGTCCAAAAGGTGAGAAATTATTAACTTCCCGTAGGGCAAGTTATATTAATCGCAAAAAAATCAAAAATGAAAATTTTTATATATCTTTACGTTTCAGAGGTTTCTGAATATTTTGGCATACCTCAGAAAAAATGGATGTGTGTGTGTGTGTGTGTGTGTGTATGTACGTGTGTATGTATGTGCGGATACAAATTTTCGTCGACGATTTCGGGAACACGGATCAACCGATTTGAATAATTCAAAAAACATTCGATTCGTATTGATAAGGAGACGTGCTGATTAGTTTTTGGCGAAGGCAGGTCTAGCCGTTCCGAAGATACGGGGCAAAAAGTGCCGAAAACAATAACTCAGTTTTTAAGAGAACGGAGCGTTCGGTTTGAATAAATAAGCGAAAAACATTTCACTTTTATTGACAAGATGAAGAATCGATAAAATTTTTATGAAGGTAGGTCTAGCGGTTTCGGAGATATGGAGGAAAAAGTAAAAAAAAATGAGCCATTTGGCGGTCAAAAATGATCATTAGACATAAGCACATCAAATTATCAGATATTTTAAAGAGATTTTAACAATAAGTATACATTTTGTTAATATTCCTATGGGTTCCGTACCAATGCTTAGACAGCGACGCGGCGTTTACGCGCTTTATATTTTGTCCCTATGCAGTTAAAGCAGTACGATTGCTTTGAAAAAAATAGTTCAGATCTTGCACAATATGTCAAAATAAAGAAAAAAAATTTTTTTTCAAAAAAAAAATTAAAATTTTTTTTTTTTTTTTAAAATTTTTTTCGAAAAAAAGTAATTTTTTGTCCAATTTATAGTTTCTGAAAAATCTTATTTTTTCAAAGTAATTTTTTTTCAAAAATGTTAATCGTTTTTAAAAAAAATAATAATTTTTGGCACGGGAAGTTCCAGCAATTTGCCTTAAGGCACGATGCCTTAATTGCCTTAAGACAGAATTTCACTTACAGCTAGTTTCAAAATCGCTTTAGAAACTTTACATTTTTAATTTGAAAATTTTTGTTGAAGCGTAATGTAAATAAAACAATAGACGGTGGCTAATACTTGAAATGTCAAACGTTTTTGACAGATGATGTTCGATTATGTTTAATAGGATGTTTTACGTGAATATTATTTAATTATGATTAAATTGTAGCAAGTAGTTTTGTTTGTAGTTTTATTTACATACAAAAACGTTAGTAATCGGGCCGCAAGTGTTACTAGAAACTCAAAATATCAACTTTTTTGAAATGTTAATATGAAAATGCACTTTTAGCATATTTTCTCAAACACGAAGCTCTGAAAGATGTCATTTGTATCATTATTTACTCATTGGTATTTATAAAACATTTTCTAGGTTATATTATTTTTTATTTATGTTATTTAAATTCAGAAGCTAATTTTGGTATCGATCAAATGGACATTTCGTCGAATAACATTTTCCCAGTTATAATTTCCCAGAATTTATCGAAGAATGGATAGTAATGTATGAAGGTCCGGGGTTAAAAAGGTCCACCACCGATGTGTCAAAAATCAGTAAACTTAAGCATTGTTTAACAACAATATTTGAAAGTAGAGGAAAAAAGATGTATAGCCAGCTATAACCTTGATTTAAAGACTTTGCTATCGGGAGATAAACGGTAATCTTTAAAAATCCATAAGGAAAGTGTTGTCTTCAGTTGGTAATTTTTTAGCATTAGTTAAAAATGTAATTGTTTTGTAAAATACATTTAAAATTAAAATAAGACATTAAACCTGTTTGCCACCTGGCCGTTACAAGTTACTCCGCCTATAGGTAAAAAAGTCTAGATAACAAATTTTAAAATTGACATATTTTAAACAGCAAAAAAGCATCTTTCTACAATGATGAAGTAGCTTTACTGATTGTAGTCAGATAACTGTTCGTTTGACATGTGTTATTTGTTGTGATATATTTGGTTTGATTTATATAATATTTTTAATATTTGCTCAAAGTCAAATTGGACCTTTGTGCATCGCCCTGCTCTACATATATAGTTTTTATTAAATTTACTTTAATTCATCGAATGTTACTTGAAACTTCTCAAAAGTAATCAATAAGTCGAAAGACCAAAAAAGACTTGGATTGGATTATACCATGTTTTCTATAGTAAGTGTATAAAACTTCCAGTTTAATTGTATTGACAAAATATAGACAAACTAATGGGGTTTATAATACCTCATTGTATATAGCATTCAAATAACACATCCTTATACTTAATATTTTTGATTCTCTAGAAATTGTTTAGAATATACGTTACTTAGCAAAAGACAATTTTGTGTTACAAAAGCACATATTATATTTAGTACTCTTTTCTTCACAAAAATTACAAAATAAATGACTGAATGAATGAGTCAATAAATTAAAAAATAACATAAATATAATTAAGGGAATAATTTTTTTTTACGACCATATCTATTTAAACAATTCTAAATGATTTAACAATAACAATAATAATGAATGTATTATTAATGATTTCAAATACGTTTCTTAAGTTTCGTTTCGTTTCCGAACGCGATTTGAATCCGAAAACGGATTCGGGCTAATTCGGATTAATCAGGAGATAAAAATTCAGCACATGGTTCGTCTGAACGAACCAATGACGAAGTTGTCATTGACATCGATATGGTGTCAATGACAATTGACACATGGAATAGAAAATACAAATATATATACATAGTGTGTATGTATGTGTGTGTATAATTTTTGTATTATACTCGTTGAGTATAAAAATGTTCGTCCATTTGAAGAAGCCTTACAAGGGATAAAATTACAATTTGCGCAAATTACTTTGCGAAACATTTTTCTCGTTCGCGAAATGAAAATGGAGGAAAATTTCATTACAGAGCCAGAAGACGAAAACGTACACAAACACGTGTATATGTATGAGTATTCGTATTGCGTCTACGAGGTACTCGGTTCGATCCCACGTACCCGACAAACCTGACACCATCGCGTATTTCACATGAAAATTTAGATAAACTCATACTCATATACTCATTTATATATAATAATACATATTTCACAATAGTTTTGCCTTGTGTCAATAATTTGCATCATGCAGAAGCAATATATGTTTTACACATATACATATTTTTATACCTATTATATATTATATATAAAATATCTTAAAATTAAATATCAAAGGATTCGTTCTTCGGCTCGATACCGTACATTCAACGGCCTGGCATCGTGCTGCAGCCATATATGTTTTTTTTCTAGGTACTGCGGTGCGCTCAGACAATGGATAAACTCTAATATTAAACACTCCTTAAATTAAGGAGTTTTACTACACCACTAGACTTGCCTTCGGGCAGACCACCATGTCGTATGTATGTATGTTTAGGTCTAGTTTCTCTAACACCGTCCCCATTAGTCTGGCCCCATGGGGGGTACCGTAGCACCGCATGGTGCTCCCAAGGGGGCACAAAGTTAAATATAATCCCCCGAAGGCTACGGTTCTTGTTTATCAATATATTTATAGGGTAAAACTTTTTTTTATTATATTAAAAAAATCAGCATACAAAGTTTGTACCAACAGATATATGGTGCTGAACTGTAATTAAAAATTTTAGAATTACTTGTACATAACCTTCAAGTTTATCTCTCTAGAAGTTTGTAATTTTCATTTATTTGTGATTTAATTTAATTCTACATCGGCATCAACCCCACTCGTTTGTTCGTGAAAAAATTAATTAACCGAGCGGCCCCCTTCGGTGCCCCTTGGGGTGCTCCGTCCTACGCAGAGTTTAATAAGAAGGAAAAAGTGAGATAATTGATTGTGATAGTTGTGAAGATTTTTTTTTTTTTTGAAGAATTTGTTACTTTAATTTTTTAATTATTTTTGTGTAGAAATATGAATTTTTAGACAACTTTGAGACTCTTTGTAACCTCATATAACATTAAAAAATGAACTTTGTAAATATGTAAAATGCTATAGATCTAATAGTTTTTTTTGACATATAAATAGTAATAAAATTAATTCAACTAATCAATATTCACAAATTTTATATTTAATAACCGAAAGTTTATGAAACTAACTTCATGCCGGTCGCCATGACAGTTTACATGTATCACAACTTTGCCAAAGCGACTGCAGCGCCATATGCGAATGAATGACGCAACTTAATGAAGTCATCTTTATTCAAAGTGAATACCCAGCCTTACAATTATGTCGCATCATGCAAATAAATAAAAAGTACGTGACAAAAATTGCAACTTTCACTCATTGTTGTATCAAAACGTGCCTCAAGTATCTTGATTCAAATGAAAAAACTAGTTTTTAACATTGGATTATAATCGAAACCGTTTTACAACCCAATCACATTGTACATGCGTAATTGCTCATGGACATGTATCCAACCCAGTTTTTTTTTTATCACAAGAAAGCCATCTTTTTAAAGGGATATGTTCACGTTGCAATGTTGACAACATAACCACATGGAGTGAAATTGTTTAAATAACTTGTACTTTGTACTACATATAAGATTAAATATATAAAGCTTCTTGAAATTTTATGTATATTATATATATATATATATATATATATATATATAGATATATATATATATATATATATATAGAGTTCGGTATGCATTTCCTAAACCCGAACCTTAACCTAATTAAAAGGGTCCGGACAACCTTTTAACCTTTCACCCAGAAATGTTTGACTTGTGTGTGGGCAAAGCCATAAGGCATTTCTATTCGAAAATTGTATTACTCCACATACACACATATTTACACACACGCATGTATATATATATATATATATATATATATAATTTGTGTGTGTGTGTTTTATAAATATCACATAATCTGTCAGGTATTCGATTGATATGAATTATATATTTGCATAGCTTTTTTATGCTAGCAGATGATTTGTAAAGTGGATTCAACTTGTCAGAATTAATAACAATTGTTTATTATTTATCTATTTATTTATTCCGTGTCTCCTTATCTTTGCAGAGCCGATAACAGTCGAGGAACCCTCTCGCCATGGGTTGCCTGTCGAGTAAAGACAAGCTGACGAAGGAAGACATGGATTTCCTGAAGTCGCACACGAGGTACGATGAGGCGACCATCAAGGAGTGGTACAAAGGATTTAAGGTGAGAGGATGGAAAGGACAAGGGTTGGGGCACATATTCTCTTTGGTGTCTCTGGTGCCCGAGTAATTAATTAAAATGATTGTTTGTCGTAATCCTTTGATTTATCAGTAGTCGGTATTGTTGGTATTCTTTGATTTATCAGTACCCAGTATTGTTGGTTCTACGAGGATTTGTTCTTGGTTTAGAACTTCGCATTTTAGCTTGTATGACTGCCAACGGTTATATTACGTTTATACAGATTTATCATTATATTGATTGTCATATTTATCACTAGTTTGATCTAATAGTATTCACCATGTACGAGCGTTTACCACCTGTAAGCGTAACATGTTTTTTCCGCATTTACTACCAGTCACAATCTTGTCTGCAGTTATCATCGATGCACTGCCATCTTGCCTGCATTTACCACAGTTGTGCCCTACTATACATACAATACACTATAGTTTTTTAGCATTATCATATTCACTGCTAGTGAGCACAAACATTCTCTTAGCATTTGCCACTTGTGTGCGCTGCAACTTCTTCTGCATTTAATACTAGTGTGCACTACAAACTGTTCCGCATTTACCACCAGTATGCATCACGATAGTTTTTCATGTACCATGGAGTTCACTACAAATCTTTTAGCATTCACCACTAGAGTGCTCTACGGTATCTGCATTTACCGCCATACGCATTACAGTTCAATTAGCTGTTACTACCAGTGTGCGCTATAATTCAGTTAACATTTACCACCAGTGTACTCTAAATTAATTAGCATTTATCATTAGTGTGCCCTAAATTCAACCATTTAGAGCATTTTACCACCAGTGTTTAATACATTTTGTGCATTCGGCACATGTGTCACTGCAATTTTGTCTGCTCTTACCACCAGTGTTCAATTTAACAGGGTCTGTGTTTACCACCGGTATGAACTACAGTAGTTTTGACCAATGTGCAGTGAAATATTCCACTATTATGCATTGCATTATTATTTCGCATTTAATGCTACAATTCTCTTAGCATTTACAGTTGTTGTGCACTATAAATGTAACTGCATTTACCTCTAGTGTGCACTACAATTTTTCTGCATTTACACAACATTGAGCATGACGATGGTTTAGGCATCTACCACTAGTGTACACTACAAAACATTACAACCAGTTTGAACTGCAATCTTGCCTTCATTTAGTACTAGAGTGCATAACAATAGTTTCTGAATTTACCTCTAGTGTGCAGTACATTAGTGCCAATATTCACCACCTACAACATTAGTAATGCAGACTGGTGGTAAATGCAAATGCTACTGTAGTAGCACACATTGTGGTAAATACCACAATCATTGTTATACTAAAACTATAGCAATATGGTCAATACTAATAGCAGTGCACTATTGTAGTAAGATTGTAGTTTACACTGGTGGTAAATGAAAAAATCTGTTATGGTACAAACTCTTGGAAAATGACTGTATCGTTATAGTGCACACTGGTATTAAGTATCGATTTCTTAAAAAAAACAGTAACTCTAAATTTCACAAATTATATCTACCATCTAATTACTACCTTCTCTTGTGTTAAAATAGCGCCACACTCCATATTTATTGTACCGACGCCCCCCTACCGTATAATTATTACCGCGCGTAATAGTTTTTCAACCTCCTCAGCCCCCCATGTAGAGTATTCCCACACAATTCCTCAAAAGGGGTGCTGCGGCAAACATTACATCGGGGGGCGGAGAAGGGTGCTCCCGTCGAATCAAATTTGTGAAATATAATTAGGGCAACGCTTCAAAAGTCGAACGAGAGCGTGCTCAATGAACATTTGCCACGATGGGGGGCCAATGGGGCGTAACTTAAATTGTAGTTATGTAAGTACTCGAGAAGGGAATAAAGAAAATACGCAATGACTTTGGAATGTAGGTTGTTATTGAGTTATTTAAGAGGCTTTGCCGAACTGTAAGCAAAAATGTTAAACATGAACATAGCTTTGTATGTCGCGTAGTACCAATTGTATTTTTAACTATTAGCGTGAAGATAGCCGCGTACCATAGAATTGTTTTAAATGTTTTTTTTTTTGCAGCAAGACTGTCCGAATGGCCGACTGACTCCTGCGAAGTTCGTCGATATGTACAAAATGTTCTTCCCAAGCGGAAATGCGGAAGAGTTTTGCGACCATGTCTTCCGGACATTTGACATGGACAAGAATGGATATATCGACTTTAAGGTAACTGATAGAATTTGTTTTTGATCACCAGTAGAGTCCTAATTTTAAGTATGCTCGCCAGTATAGTTTACTTTTTTTGGTCAAATCCATTTCGTCAGCAATGTTACTTGTCTAAATCGTAGTTGTCTAAATCTCGAAATAATGCTCGTTTACTGCTTTATATAGATTCCAAGTATCTGACCTGTATATTCTAGAAATTGCGAGATGAAGTCTCCAAGTCTATATACAATTTACTCGTCAGTAGGGTTCTATTTTTTCTTATGTTCAAATCATATTCATTCATCAGCAGAAATAATCCAAGGCGCATATTCTCGAAGATCTGAAGATTGTTCTGCTGCTTTTGATAGAGTCCACATCAGATATCAATTAACTCCTTATTTGAGTTCTTCTTTTCACGTTCAAATCATACTCATCCATCAGCAAGGTATACTCCAAAGCGCAGATTCTCGAAGATTTGAAGGTTTTTTCGCCTGCTGCTTTTGATAGAGTCCACATTTCTGATCAAATACAGTTAGCCCTTTAGTAGAGTTCTACTTTTCACGTTCAAATCGTTATCATCATCAGCAGAAATACTCCTTAGCAAGGATTTTCGAAGATTTGAAGTTAGTTTTGCCTGCTGCTTTTGATAGAGTCTGATTAGATATCAGTTAGCTCCTTAGTAGAGTTCTACTTTTCACGTTCAAATCGTTGTCATTCATCAGCAGAAATAATCCAAGACGAGGATTCTCGAAGATCTGAAGGTTGTTCTCGCCTGCTGCTTTTAATAGAGTCCATATCTCTGAACCATACGGATTCATTCTCCACATGTAGACTTCATCAGTTTTTTCTGCAATTTGATACATAGTTTTTTCGTCAGCAGAGTTCTATTTTTTTCTTCGTCACCAGTCAGTAAAATTCTATTTTATTTTGAGTCAAATCATATTCATTTGATAGCAGAAATAATCCAAAGCGAGGACTCTCGAAGATCTGAAGGTTGCTCTTGCCTGCTGCTTTCAATAGTCCATATCTCTGATCCGTACGGATTAATTTTCGACATGTAGACTTCATCAGTTTTTTCTGCAGTTGAATATTTAGTTTGCTCGTCAATAGAGTTCTACTTTTTGGCCGTCAGCAGTCTGTAAAGTTATATTTTATTTTGGTTCAAATCATATTCATTTGATAGCAGAAATAATCCAAAGCGAGGATTCTCGGAGATCTGAAGGTTGTACTTGCCTGCTGCTTTCAATAGTCCATATCTCTGATCCGTACGGATTCATTCTCCACATGTAGACTTTATCTGCAAGTTGATATATAGTTTGCTCGTCAGTAGAGTTTTATTTTGGATTCGTTCTTCATCAAAAATGTAGTTCTCGGAACCTTTTGAGTCAATATTAATCTTAGTGTCCATGTGTCTGATCCCTACGGAGATACGTAGCACTTCATCATTATAAATTTATAAATTTATAACGATTACACAACTCACGGAGCTAGAAACTTTCTGTCGTGTTGTTAAAACTTTAAACGACACGAAATAAATCTGTTTGGAAAAGTTACAGTTTCGAAACAACTTTTGCGAAAGTTTTAGAACTTCTTGTTAAATTAAGTTTCCCCGATTAATTTGAATCAATTAAAATACTTTGGATCACTATACTGTATTAGGAGAAAAAATAATGATAAAGTTTTGGATAGGAGTTTTTGGTGGTAGATAGGTGATTGGTAACAAGTTTTTGGAACTTTTTATACAGATTGATACAAGTTAGATAGCTTAAATTATTCAAATCTAGTTATCTATATTTAGATAGTTATTTTGATTTTTTGTGACACCAGATGATTGGTAAGGTTTTTAATGCACTTCACACATTGTTTAAATCAAATCGCAAATTAGTTTTTAACTTGTGCATCATTTTAGTATATCTCGTATAACTTTTAAACAATTCGATAAATATAGATGATGTATTTGGTGAATTTGTTTTAAACAAATTCATCTATAATATTTTCTAATAAAATTATATTGAAAAGCAACTAATTAATGATTAATGAATAAAGAATGATTAACAAAATTATCTTGAGGAGTTCAAGAAAGCATTACATTCTTGTTTCGTGCATCATGCTAGTACATCTTGTACAACTTTTAAACCATTCGATTAATATTAATGATGTATTAGAGTTAATTGTTTAAAATAAAAGTAGCATCAACATTGTCTAACATCATAACCCTCTACAGCAACTTTGTATACTTTAAAACGCCATTCGAAAATTCTTAATTTGTTTTGACATTGTACTCGCTATAAAGATGCTGCGGTTCATAAAAATATTCATAAGTCGAAAAGCATTCGATTGATATGGATGATGTATTAGAAGAATTTGTACAAAATAAAATAATCTATAGTCTAACAACAACAGACCCTATAACAACTCAGTATTTTCAAAATTGTTTTAAATTGGACACAAAATTTATTTTTTACATTTATTTCAAGTACATTTATTTATTATATCTCTTGTAACTTTAAACCATTCGATTAATAGGATGATGTTTGTTGCGTATTTGTACAAAATTAAATAATCTAAAAAATTGTCTAACATCTGGAATCTCTACAACCATTCCGTATACTCATAATCAGGCCAATTTGAAGAACAAATATATATTAGACGTCCTTGTGTGTGTATATTTGAAGGAAAATCAATAAAATGCCACAAAAAGATATTATATCACGAATTCCGCAAGTATAAGTATTATAACCTGTATATATATATATATATATATATATATATATATATATATATATATACAATTGTATGTATCGGAATAAATTACCTTAGTTAAAGGAGTCTCCTGTGGCGGAGCACCCCGTAGACATTTATATTCATCCTTTCATTATTTTCGTATATTTTACATTTCTTTGTTCCAAAAATATAATAATAAGGATACTCATCGTTTTCAAAAACAAAAAAGACGTTTTATCCTAATCGCTCTGAATATAGAGACAAGGTTTCGTACCAACATAATAATTGATAATAATCAAAAATGCAAAAAAAAACAATATTTTTTATTGGTTTTATAGCGATTTATAAGTGACCAGTTGTTGTAGGACTTCATTGTATTAGACAATGTTGTAGATGATTTAATATAATAATAAGGATACTCATCGTTTTCAAAAACAAAAAAAGACGTTTTATCCTAATCGCTCTGAATATAGAGACAAGGTTTCGTACCAACATAATAATTGATAATAATAAAAAATGCAAAAAAAACAATATTTTTTATTGGTTTTATAGCGATTTATAAGTGTACACAGTTGTTGTAGGACTTCGTTGTATTAGACAATGTTGTAGATGATTTAATATAATAATAAGGATACTCATCGTTTTCAAAAACAAAAAAGACGTTTTATCCTAATCGCTCTGAATATAGAGACAAGGTTTCGTACCAACATAATAATTGATAATAATCAAAAATGCAAAAAAAACAATATTTTTTATTGGTTTTATAGCGATTTATAAGTAGACCGAGTTGTTGTAGGTCTTTGTTGTGTTAGACAATGTTGTAGATTATTCAATTCAGAACAAATTTCTCATATACACCATTCATATTAATCGAATGGTTAGGAAGTTATACGAGTTATACTAAAATGATGTATGAAGTAAAAATCTGATAAAAGTTATTATAAACAATTTATAGAGCTGTAGAAGTACACGAGTTGTTGCAGGACCTTGTTACGTTAGACAATGTTGTATATTATTAATTCAGAACGAATTTCTCATATACACCATTCATATTTATCGAATGGTTTGGAAGTTGCAGGTGTTATACTAAATTGATGTATGATGTAAAAATATTTTGTAAAAGTTATTATAGACAACGATACAAATGGTGTCGATACAAGTTATAGGACATAATTTATTTTTTCATTTTTCTTTTACTTTCATTTTATGTTAATTTTTACAAAAACGGCTTGGCCGATCGTTGCACAATACTAATCAAAGCAAGATCTTACCGAATTATATCAAATGGCTTTGAATTTTGGCTATCACTTGGTATATGAGAAGGCTTAGACAAAATGGTTCAAGTACTCACATGTTTTTTTCCAATTTAGGGTCAAGCGCTTCAGAATGGCTTGTTGAAATCCCTTGTCTTAAGAAATTTAGTTTACCTCGCGCCGCGGAGTACTGCACCACTTGATTTGTGTTAATCAAGTGCAAACTTCTAAAAATATTGTTAAATCATTAAACTTGTTCCTCGGAACAAACTCTATTTTTGGAACCCCGTAGCTTTTCAGGGCAGGGGTCAATACACACTGATACAGATCTATTATCAAATACACAATTATCGATATTCTTTATTTTTTACGTAATTTTCAAAAAAAATGATTTAATTTGTGGTTTTAAAGTTAACCGAGATAATTTAATTTTGTACAAATTATCCAAATGCGTCATTCGTATTAATCGAATGGTACAAATGCTACCATGTTTATAACAAACTAGCAACCGGGCGAACTCCGTTTCACCACCAGATGGTTTCATTTTATGTAACATTTCGTTTGGTGATTAAAAGATGAAGAAAAAATTGCCTACTGTTGAAGTTGAATAAAAATTTGAACATTACACGTGATTGATTTGATGGTTTCCAATTGAAATGATAGGAAACGAATAATTTATTTTTACTTTTTTTGCACAATTTCACAGTGAACACAATGCCGGTTTGTCACATGAAATTAACTGAGCAGAGAACAAAGAGTAGCTGTCAAACAAATGAGTAGCAGTCAAACAAAAAATATTAGTTTGTAGTACATACTAAGTATCAGAGATTACGCTGTATGTGAAAAAGAAAAGTGTTTTCCACTTT